AACTGAATCAAATGCTCAAATACAAGAAGTGCTCTGAGGTTGTACTTACATGAAATCGTTCAAGTGCTATTAGCTGGTATAGCATAAAAACTCAGCAAAAATTAACACTTACTCGGGGGAGGGGAGCGATAAGCAAATAATGACAGTGACAGGAACCTAAAATTGAAGATGAGGAGGGTGTAGCATTCCTGGTCATGTTTGATCAGTTGAAATGTATCAGAGAGGTATGTATGAGAGCTGAATGATGCCTAAGCATGATAGTGGGCCAGGAGGAAAGAAAAAGAGGAAAGATTAGGAAAACAAAAATTATATAGGTATAATATAGATATGTATGTATGTAAATATATGTAAAGATAGGTGTATTTGTCTATATATATATATGTGTGTGTGTTTTTGTGTGTGTGTGTGTGTAAATACAATAAGGAAGCAGATGATCTTTGCATCTCTACGTAAATCTTACCACAGAACAAGAACAGAACAGTTTGTTCTAATAAAGTGGCAATGTGTGATACTCACGTTCCCGATCACTGAAGATAAAATGGGTGCATAAGCAAATGTGGTGAAAAAAGCTGATAGTGCCCAGCTATAAAACGATATAGCAAAAAAAAAAAGAAAGTGTCTGGGGTCTTAAAGGCTTGAAGATAAACAAGCGGTCATCTAGCAGGGAAGCAACAAAGCCCACAAGGAAGAAGCACACCAGTCTGGTGTGATCATGAGATATCAATGGGAATAAATAATTAGAAGTTCAAAAACAAGCAATCAAATTGATGTGAAGGAGTTCAGACAAAGTGGAGACCCAAAACCCATCTGTAAGAAAATTGGACAGTCCCTCATAAAAGTGCAACAAGGAATGGATAATATATCCAGGGAGTAGTGTAGCACTAATGAAACACTTAACTATCTCCTGGTTCTTTAATATTTAAGACCCTACTATTATGGTCTTAGTTTTTTACCTCATTAATCTTGTGAGACCTTTGTATGTTCATTTGTTTTTTGTTGTTTTTTGTGTGTATGTTCATTTGCATAATTAAGATTGTTCGATGCATGAAATCCAAGATAGATAAACCTTTCAGAAATAGTAATAGAGGTAATGATTCCTTGAGGGTACAGGAAGAAGGGGGAAAAGGGATGAAAGGGGGAGTCGATAGCAATGGTGACTGAATAACCTCACTCTGGGGGAACAAATAACAAAATTGTAGGTGAACTGATACACTGGTTGGTGTAAGATACAGCAAAATAATAATAATATATAATAATAAATGTTCCCGAGGGGTAGGTTGGGGGAGAGAGGGGATAAAGAGGAACTGATATCAAGCAGTTCAAGAAGAAAATGTTTTGAAAATGATGATGGCAGCAATTGTACAATTATGCTTGATCTAATTGCATGATGGATTGTTATAATACCCATAAGAGATCCCAATAAAATGATTTTTTTTAAATTAACACCTAATCATTTGACCTCCCTTTTGACCTATTTAAATTTTGTTCTAGGTTTTAATATTTCTGCTTTCATTTCCATTGAGGATTTTCTCTCTTTTATTTTGTTGTTTGTTTTCTTTCTCTCTGTATATGACATTGAGAATATGTAAATCTATAGATACAGTACCTTGGTCAATGGTTTCTTGGGGGTATGGCCGAGGATGTTGGAGGGAAATGGGAAGCTAATAACAGTCCGTACAAGAACGAAGAAAATGTTCTAAAGTTAATTGTGGTGATGATCATACAACTCTTCTTAATGTTTGAATCATTGAATTGTAGGTTATATGAATTATATGCCAACAAAATTATAAAAGAATTTTAAAAATAATAAATCTTGATAAACAAGCGGGCATCTAGCTCAGAAGTAACAAAGCCTGTGTGATCACGAGGTGTTGAAGGGATCAGGTTATCAGGCATTAAAGAACAAAACATCATATCATTTTAAATGAGGGTGAGTGCAGAGTGGAGACCCAAAGCCCATCTGTAGTCAACTGGCCACCCCTTACAGAAGAGTCGCAGGGAGGAGACGAGCCAATCAGAGTGCAGCATGATAGGTAGTTCAGGCCTCATGGTGACTTGGTGGCCCATGGTGAGGCGTTCAGTCTCCACCAAGGCCCAGTAACAGGCCAATAGCTATTTTTCAAAGGGGGAGTAGTTGTCTGCAGAGGATGGCAAGACTTTACTCCAAAATCCCAATGGTCCCAAAATCCCTGTGTTTCACCAATAGGGGTCTGCCAAAGACCAGGTCTGCCAGATGGCCTAGATTGGACCAACTTGAAGTACCTGACCTACCTTGGTACACTGT